GGATTGAGAAGTTGAGAGATTGACACATGTTACAATCCGGAGGCTCTGGATGGAAGTCACCCTAGCGAAGAACCCAACCCATTCCACATGCGTGGGAGCTACCACAGTACCGATCAACACACAAGAACTCGTTAGGGGGTTCCGCAGTACCCCTGAAATCTTCGCCAGAGAACGTCGAACTATGATCGGGACGCACTCACGCGACTCAACTCGCACACAGGAAGGTGCCGATGCATGCGGCACCGCAGCACGAGGGCGGGGGCAGAGAAAGCAGAAGGAGGGATGGATATAAGGAACGATTAATAGCTCCAGCGCGGCTCACAGGAGTCCAGGCAGGGGGCGGCGCGATTGCGCCGCGAGCTCGCGATTCCCTAGCCAGCTCAGGCTCCGCAGCGCGGAGGAATTCCTCGAAGCCTAGCTTCGCAACTTTAGCTCCTAGCTTTGTGAAGTGACCATGCGGACCCTGCCACTGGGGCCTCGGTGGAGCTCCCTAAGGGGCCACGAAACGTGCGAGGGGTGTGCAAGGAGGGGCCTGAGTAACCATACGAACCCTGCCACCGAGGCCCTCGGCGGAGCTTCCTATGGGGCCGCGAAACGTGTGAGGGGTGTACCAGAATGGATCCGAGTAATCATGTGGACACTGCCACTGGGGCTTTCGGCGAAGCTCCTCATGGGGCCACGAAACGTATGAGGCGCGTCCAAATCCCAGATGCACGTCCTTGCCGACCAGGCGGAGGCTGCCGGGCTGTGGACCCAGTTCTCGGGCAGCCCCGGGACCCAGCGGCAGTTCAGCTAGTCCCCAGGCTTCGCCTTCCGCACGTTCCAGCAGGCCCCCATCGGCACCGAGACCCCCACCGTCACTCAAGACGAGCAGGCTCGGCTCACGGCTGGGCAGGACAAGTGAAACGAGGAGCGCAATGCCCAGAAGAAGGCCGACCAGCGGGCCTTGTGCTTCCAGACCCTCTACGACAGCGGCCTGCCGCCAGGCCACAGCTGGGAGAGGCTTACAGAGGAACTGCAAGACTCTGGCGCCGCACGGCTCCAAGACCCTGCCTTTGCGACCGTTGTTTACTATGACCTCAGCCTACCCCACCTACACGGCCCAGGCGACGCACCCCAGGACCTCTTCGAGCAGCGTCGCAAAATGGTGAGCCACGAGGGGTACCTCTACGACGGAGAGCTCGGGCTGGACGCCTCCGGCTACGTGTGCGCCGCCACCTGGGCGTGCCTGCTGCAGGTGGCAGGGCTACAGCCCAGCACCGACCCGCGTGCTGCCATTCCAGAGGACAGGCTGCCCCTTCCGCCCAGGGGACGGCAGGGGGACAGCCGATGGAGACGGGTTGTGGACCAGCCCCCGGTTGGCACCATCAGGTTCTCCCCCCGCGCATGGAGCAAGACAACCTGCGAGTGCCGGCGCCACCAGAGCCAGCCAAGCTTCGAGCACCTCTTCGCCCTCATTGGGCCCCAAGCACACCAGGAGCCTGTCCTGGGCGGCCAGCTCCTCGACTGCACCAGGGAACCGATCACGTGGCCCTGGGCCAACGCTGCCATGGTGATCATGCTAATACTGGTCCGCGAGCTCCGCCCCTCCCTGGCCCCCTACTGAAGCCCCAGCCACATCGGCGATATCCTGGAGGCCGTCCTGGGCATCTGTGTACCCTACAAAAAAGCGCGGCACCCGGCTCGCGACAGCTTCGGTAAGGCGCACAACCTGACAGACGTTGACTTCCGGCTGCTTCACGGCCACACCGAAACTCGGGGCTCCCAAACGGGGTGGTGACCACACCGTGCGGTGAGTCGATGGGGATTCGGGGTCACCGCACGGTTTTGGGACTCGGGTCGTTCTCCGAAGACGTCTCGGGCGACTGGGGCATCCGAGGTCCCAAAACCGTGCGGTGACGGACCGTGCGGTGAGGTCTTGGGGGATTTCGAGGTCTGTCACCGCACCGTTTCGGGACTCCAAAGAAGCCTTTATCAAGGCCTGCTCAAGGCTGGTCACCGTGGCGCACCACCACCCCGACCTCGAACCGCTGCAGCAGCAGATAGCAACGTGGGAGGAGGCGGCCGCGGACGACTCCCCCCTCAAGCAGACACTGGCGGCATGCGGCCACCTACCGTGCCCAGCTGACCTTTCAGTGCTCTGCCCGCACGAATGCGCCATCTGCACCCTGTCCGAGGCCCTGCTCGGTTCACCGCTCGGGCTTTTACCAAAGGACCGCGCCTCCGAGAAACCGCTATACCTGGGAGGAGGGCTCTCCGGCTACGGGAGAGACCTACACCTCCCGTCCCCTACGGGCTCACTCCTGGGCGCCAGTCTACTCCCGCCAGCGCTGCAGTCGGGTGACAACCGCTTTCAGACGACCGACCAGACCCCCAACGTCTTCTGCGACGCCTGCGGACGTGGCCCCTTCGACCCTCGTAGGGACAACTGGGGCGCATGGGTTGACCCCGAGACGCGATGGCTGGTGGCGGCCAGCCGGCTGGACTGCTACAGAAAGGG